AGACACGGGAAATAGACAATTATTTAATAACGATAGATGGATGTATATTTTTTACTCTTTCACTTATGAACGGAATTTCAATTCCGTTAATTTTAAAAAAATTGGTACATGGGTAGGTTATATCTTAAGTTAGCACATACGAGTAGAATACTTTAAGTACTTATTCAGGCGAAGCCGCAGGATACAGATAATAGGATAATAATTCGTATTTAACTAATATTAAAGTGTCGATTCTGATAAATTTAAACGCTCTCTACATTTGTCATATAATTATTAGAAATGTAGTATTGAAGCCTAATATACTAATGCCACAAATTCTCATAAACAACTCACTTATAGTCATTAAAGTATCGGCTGATACTCAAATACCTAACTTTGCCCCAAATTGGTATATAAATATGAAAAAATAAACAATAATTGGGAAAAGATTACGTAAACATAAATTATAGGGGAGGGAAGGGTTTGGTAATGGAGAACGACCCGATTGCCCACTGATACTCCTGCATATACTGATAGCACAGGTGGGGTTACCATTTCATATCATCTACTGAAAGAAACGTATATGATATTAATAATAAATTTATATTATTAAATCAGTAACACACTCATCATCTTTCAATCATACTTCAGCATCCCACACTTACCATAATATTACCTTTTAAGACAATAGCTCCCATAAAATTCTTACTTAATTTATCTAATAGACATGTTGACATAAGTAATAAAATATTTAATTAAAAGTGGTAACGGTCACCTATAGATATGAACAGTAACAGGCACATAACAGAGTATACTGTGTCGCCCATGATACCCTTCATTAATTGCTATTTCTGGGGACTAAGTTATTCTGCCTCTCTACCCTATAATTTTATAGCCATAACCCACCTTTCAAATCAAAATAGAGCTATGCAAACACAACTGCTTCACGAAAGAAACATAATGGCACAGAGGTACCCAAACAGATGAATTTTGAACAAAATTATCTCTGGTATAATATTTTATCTACTAATATTTTATATATGAAAATTCGAAAAGTTAAATAGATACTCTTTATTGTTACCTCCAAAAGATTACAATAGTAAAGATCTTTCTTACTCGATCAAGTTTTATAGCTAAACAGATTTTAATAGAAATTCGTGCATGTAATAGGTATATTTTATATATAAAAAAAAAAAAATTCAAAAATTCAAAAATCATTTATTCATGTAGGACATTTTAGCCACTTATGAACGTCAAATTTTTACATTATAATTTTATATTTTCCCTACCGTCCAGTTCGGTATATAGATCCAATTGAGAAGAACTGGCAAGAAACTCAATTGAATTACTTTTTTTTTTTTTTTTTAAAGCCAGTTTATTTACAATGTATATTTATATAGGTGTCTATGTCTAACATTAAATGAAAATTCAGTGCATGAACAACTATTGCCATGCACACTCGTCATTCAAGTAATCGTTTAGTGAGTAATAGGCTTTGCTCAGTAAATATGATTTAACAGATGTTTTGAATTTATTTAAGGGTAATTCCAACATATCCTTTGGTATCTTATTGTAAATTTTTATACCTATTCCCATAAAAGACCTATTAACTTTTTCTAAACGATACTTGGGGACAGCAAGTTTGTCTTTAAATCTAGTATTAATATTATGAATATTGCTGTTTTTTGGAAATAAGTCAAGATTTTTATGAACATATAGAATATTTGAATATATAAATTGAGAAGCAACGGTGAGAATATTTGCCTCTTTGAATTTCTCTCTTAATGAGTCACGACTCTTCATACAGTAGATCGCTCGAACGGCACGTTTTTGTAATATGAATATATTCTTAATATCTGCCGCTTTTCCCCATAGTAATATTCCATAAGAGAGTAAACTATGAAAATAACTAAAATAGACTAATCTAGCAGTATCAGTATCAGTGTACTGTCTAACTTTACGCACGGCAAAAGCTGCTGAACTTAATTTCGCTGCAAGGCTTTGAATTTGTGCACCCCATTGTGTTTTATTATCTAGTGTGATTCCTAGAAAGACAGTAGATTCTATAAATTCAAGAGATTCGTCATTTAATTTAATATTGCAATTAGTATTAAAACTTTTAGATAGAGAGAAATTAACACATTTTGTTTTTTTAGCGTTTAACATAAGATTGTTAGTTGTAAACCAGTGCAGGAGACGCCGCAAAGCACTATTTACATCGTCATAATTATTAGTCATTCTATTAACTTTAAAAATCAATGAAGTATCGTCTGCAAACAATACTATGCCGCATCTATCCTGCATGGCATATGGGAGATCATTAATGTAAACTAGGAATAAAAATGGACCGAGAATAGATCCTTGAGGTACACCCATTTGCACAAGTGACCCGTCAGACGTAGCGTTGCTAATCTTCACTTTCTGTATATTCTTTATTATACTTATAAATTACAAAGATAATGCAGTTATAAATATAGTAAGCAAGGGTGGGCTTATCTCTAAAGGAGATCTCTGCTAGCCAACCCAATACAATGATGAAGGGATGTACCTAGTTAGCGGGTAACTATGTATTTATTATTTTCTTTCTTTCTATTGTATTGTTTATATTATTTATATACTATTGGAGATTGTACTTATTTATATATGCTTTTCACATTTTTAAATCTTGGATGCCCAACTAGTTTCTATTTCAATATAAATCCTTATTCATGAGCGTGGTTTACAACAATGAGAAAAGAAGAATGAGAAAAGAATATTAAAAAATTAAAAGCAATAGAGAATAGAGGAGTTCAAATGCTGGGCTATGTTATAAGATATGATATAAGATATTCATAAAGAGTTCACTAAAGGAAACAATAGAGGGCACAAAAGGAAGGGGGACTAAAAAATCACTACATGGGATAGATAAAGAAAAGCTAGGTATCATATCGTATAGGAATAGAGCTGGCTGGAAGAAAATACATAAATTTGTTGCCCTGAGAAAAAATAACATTTAAAATACTCATGAATATAAAGGTTTGTACTCGTATAGGGTATAGCCTATTATATCATAGATAAAGGATATATTTTTCCTAATTCATACTAAATCCCTGGAAAACAGCAGATTATTTAATATGTGTTTATAAATAATAATTAATTAATTAATCATTATGAAGAAAACAACTTTATGAAGAAAATTTTCTTGGAAGAACTTGGAACCTGGAATAATTATATCACATAGCCTGTTTTTTGAATAACTGGCTCTTATTAATAATATTAAATTCACAAAATACATACCTGAGATTATAGTGAAAATTTATAACGCCTTTTGTGTCACTTCTCATTAAAATATACTATAAATACAATATAATAAATATAATACAATAAAATATACGTACATAATAAATATATTATTATTATAAATGTTGCAATGAAGTATAAACAAATAAAACAAATCGCCATGTCGTCCCAGCATATAATAGGCCACCCCTTCCTTTCTCGTGAATGTCGTAAGTGGCGACTAAGAAACAGCGAGGGATGGGCAGCAGCGTCCCTCTTAAAACATCTCCAAAGCCTAACTGCGGTTGCCAATCCGCCTGCCAAGCGTGGCAGGCAACTACTGGCAAAATCCCCCAAGAGGGAGGCTTATGTTCAGCAGTGGACAGTTAAAGGCTGGTATGATGACGACTATGAACTATAATAAAACCTTTCGTTTAAAAGATATAATCGTTAAAATCTCATTAGAATATTAGCGTAGATATTGCATCACGAACGGGAAAAACAGTAAAAATTGAAAACTTCCGCTGTTTTTAAGTAGCTTGAAACATAATATTACCTTTATTCGTTTACATTAGCTCGCTTTTATCGAGTCAACTTGTAATAGAATCTACGGATATTTATTTTACACAGTTATTGTTAAAACATTATAGATAATAGAACACTAGTTCTACTACAATTGTAATAAAATTTTGTTAAAATCGGACTAACTAAATTTGTTAAAAACTTTGTCCTTTTATGCGAATTACAATGGCTTACAAGCAGGCAGTTGACTAAACTTTTTTTCTTAATTAATAAAAAAAATGTGCTTCTTTCTGTGTTGCAAGAATTAAAAATTTTCCAGATCAAACCGATTTTATAAAATTGAATTTGATGCTATTCTTTCTAATATGCTATAAATATACATAAGTACGTATTGCACATAAATTAATATATTTTATTACAATGGCGGTTATTGTTAATAATTTTGAAAATGAAAACATATTTCTATACTCAAATATAGATTAAAAATATTCAATAAAGATGAACATAATTTTGAAACATTATGCACTGTCTATCTTACTCTTTCAAATAAACTCATTACAATTTTGTTATGTTTTTATTTTTAATTTATCCTATCAAGAGAGAAATACAAATTTCTCCCTCAAACTTAGTATTAACTACATACACTTGTAACCCAATTTACGCAAACATGGATAAAAAAGTTGACCTGTTTTTTTAGCGAAGTATTTGTATAGAGGTACTCTATCTATATAATCTAAGTGCTACACTAACAAAAGATAATTATCATTATCAATCCTTATCTCTGTGTCTACTTCGCAGAGTCTGAGTGTAATCTTTGCAATTATACCTACTAATTTACTAAAATCTCTATTTAATTAAATAGCTTTTAATTTTCTATAGAATTAACAGAATTATTAAGCATTAACTTTTATCTGCGTCTCCGTCCGTGTGATCGGGATATATTTAAAGGCTTGAATAAAAAGTACACTATATCCTTCTCCATCCCATATATAAATTGCTATTACTATTAGGTATGCTATTAGGTAACAAACAAACTCACTTTCATATTTATAATATTAGTAAGAATTATATTTCACAAAATATTAATTTGATCATTTATTAAAAATTTGTAGACGAAAACTAATTTTCAAAACAAACAATTATTTTAGCTAGACATATTCAATAGGGGATGCGAATTTTCTAAACATTGTTCTTTATTGATTTCAAAAAAATATTTAATTAATTTAACTTTATTGTTACAGATATTTGCACTGCGAGATACAAAATGGAGCAAGTTACTAAATATTTAATTATAATTACATCTCTAATGACAGCAAAGCTGAGATTTACAGAAAGCAAGAATAATGCAGTACCTAATACTACGAGAAATTACTATCCGATACCTTACATCAATATTTGCGATATAATTGGTCGGTCGTCAAAAATATACTGCTACTGCAACAATATTGATCCAGAATTGACCACAAGGGCTGATTGTTGGATTTTTAGTGAAATCAAAGAGGATGATCCTATATGGCCCAATTTCTCATCGCAATCAGGATTAGAATATATCACGTTTAATGTACGATCAGAAAACGTGTTAACTTTTATACCGACGAAGGCTATATCTTCACTCGATAAACTAAAACAGATATCCATACAATTTGGAACTATAAAAAGAATACCACCGTATGCTTTTAAAAATTTACCCAAACTCCGCCAAATAATTTTAAAATCTAACAAAATCAATATTTTGGAGAAGTATTCCTTTTCTCACATGATGTCACTCTCTAATTTGAGTTTGGACGAAAATGAAATTACCGAATTGAACACCGACATCTTTTTTGATTTACCAAATTTGCAAATTTTGGATTTGTCATTCAACAATATAAGTTTAATACACGAAGGTTGTTTTAAGCATCTGGACAATTTAAAAGAATTAAATTTAGACAATAATTATATATCAGTAATTACAAAAGAAATGTTAGAGGGTCTGGAAAATCTTTCTAAATTAAACATTAGATATAATAAGCTGACAATGATTGGCAACTTAGCTTTCAGTGATTCTTCGGGATTAAAAGAGTTGCTAATAGATAATAATGATATAGAATATGTTTCTGAACGTGCATTCGGTGGTCTTTCACAGCTGAGAAAACTCACTTTATCAGGAAACAGACTTTCGAAATTCTACGAAGATGTACTCGACGAAGTAAGAAATCTTGTAATTTTGGATCTACGAGGGAATCTGTTGGAAACAATATCGTACGAGGCAATTCGGACGGTCGTGGAAAACGATAAATCAGCTTCAATAGCAGTATATTTGGATGGTAAGTTAATGATTTTATTTGCACTGATTATGGGCTATTATGTTAGTGATAATACACCTGTCTAAATAAAAATAAAATTATATCATGCGTTACTATCTGTCATTTCGCTCAATTTTCTATCGGTATAGGCAAAGAAACGAATGTCAAATTATTGCAAATATCCCCCACTTCATTCATATAATATCCATGGTGCTATTCTTATCTATATGCAACGATTACTTCTTTCATTCAGGTGGGCCGATAGCTTATTTGCCATTTAAAATATCTTAAAAAAATCATTCGTAATTTGTTTCATATTCACCGATACCGGAGACTGACTCTTGCTTTAGATGTCACTCTATTTAATCATTATAGGTTGGACAATTTTTCTCCCAATCTTTCCACTTTTGTATTGTACAAAGTATAAATATTTCGTCAATTTTGTCAATCTTTCATCCAACATGTTTCTGAACGTGCCTGCCTGTTCAAATTCGAATGCCCGAACTAACGTAGCATGTTCTTTCTCGTTTTAAATCGACAATTTCAATCCAACCTCGCACTATTGTATTACGAATGCGGTCTACCAGCCTTACCTAGCAAATTCTGCGCAGTGTTCGCATTTCAACCACATTAATTCTACTTTACTTGCATTTCATTTTAGTAAATATGACTGTACTGTTCTCTCGTTCAAAGAGAGTATGAACATACTCTATTTGCTATATGAAATTATGTCAAATAAATATCTACTTTTTAAAGTCTATACTACTATTGATTGTGTGATATTATTTAAAGTTTTACTTATGATAGTACAGAAAAAATCACAGTATAAATAAGACAATAGATATAATGTATTTATTTATTTAAGACAAACAGACAGCTAGAATAATTCATAATTACTCAAATAGTAATTTGACAGCTACTAAACTTTGCATGTAGGTAGAATATTTATATGGTAGAATCATTATCATCGTCATTTCAGCTTGTGTCAATCCATTGTTGGGTATAGGCCTTTCTTAACGCCTTCCAACATATCGATCCTCTGCTTTTCGCAATAGGCCACACATGTCATCATTTTTGCCATTAACTGCTCACTGCTGAACGTAAGAATTCTCATCGAATGTCAGTTCTTCGAGCTATATAACCATTGCCATTTTATCTTGCTTATCTTTCTTGCTATATCGGCCACTTTGGTCCTTTAGCGGATATCCTTATTTCAGATTCTGTCACGCAAAGGAATTCCGAGCATAGCCTTCCCCATAACTAGCTGAGCAACTTGAAACGTCTGCATACAGCCAATCGTATAGGACCATGTTATTTCTTTTTTATTGCATATAATATTTTTTTTATACAACTTAGAATGGCAATCAAGCTAACGGCCCACCTGATGGAAAGTGGAAACCGTCGCCTATAAATATGAGCAGTACCATGGACATAACAGAGTGTACTGTTTCGCCCATGATACCTCCCATGCGTTGCCATTCCTGAAGACTCAGTTGTTATTCCTCTGTACCTAGTAAATTCACGCCATATACCACCCTTCAAACTGAAACACTGCCATGCAAACACAACTGCTTTACGGTTGACACACGAATGGGACAGAGGTACCCAAGCAAACGACTTTTGTACAAAGTCTACCTCTGGTGATATAATATAAAATAATTATAAATATTAAAAAATAAATTGCTCCAATAGTATATAAAAATGTTATCTAAAGTAGAAATTACTAGCTCTATTTCAAATATTACTAATTTATACGTCGTTCTTAATTCGAATTTCATACGTTATTTAAATAGTAATTAAACACATTCCAAATAAACAAGGACAAAGATACTGCTTGGATAGAAACGTCGTATCTATTTTGTGGTTAAATCGAAGAACCTTCAAATATCAGTTGTCCAAATCTAATATTTAGGAGGCACAGATTCTGCCACGCAAAGGCTAAGCATAGCCCTCCCCATAACTAGCTGAGCAACTTGAAACATCTGCATTCGCCAACCGTATTTTATCGTAATTAACAAGAACACCCAACTGATTCAATTTTATTGGGCACTTCTATTATATAAAAATTAAGGCAAATGTTAGGATTATATATAGGATATGCCGTGTAGGACGACCCCCCACTAGATAGAGTGACGACCTGAAATACATTGCAGGAAATCAGTGGATGAAGGTGGCTCAGGACCGTTCTTTATGGCAGTCTATAGGAGAGGCTTATGTCCAAGATAATAAATTGTGCCTTATAAGTCTATGGGGAAGATTTTATGTTTAGTATTGACCAATTTATTGGCTGGAATAAGAATGAACCTAGAATTAAGACGATGTAGAGATTGTTTTGCCATGTGGTCCTAACATAGAATAAGCCACTCCTTTATTTCTCGTTAATGCTTCATTTCTCGTTGACTAAGCGAAATTAAAGGCCGAGGGATGGGCAGCATCTTTCTTAGAACATCACCAAAAGCCTACCTACGGTTGCCAACCGGTCTGTTAAGCATGGCAAAGCTAAGACCTGGGGGGAAAGGGATTGCTAATAATGGAGACTGAGAATCCCATTGCTAGCAATATACCCAACCAGGTCGACCTCCTCGTGGTTCTCCCTAGAAACTATCATGGTTAATTCCTGATGAATTCATCATGATGGACTAACTGGCCTGTTTTCATTCTCATCTATCAACCTTCACTCGTGCTCCGCAAGCGTATACCGTTAGCGCAAGCGGGGTTACCATTCCATTTTCATCCAATAAAAAAAAATTTGGCATGCCCCTACAAATTTTTACTTCAATGTATGTGCCCATATACAGACGTGGTGCTGTTTATGTATGTGAGGAAACGTCTTCAGTAACGATCCAGTCAGAGGAGTATTATATTCTTTAGTCGAAACCTTGTAAACATTTTTATTCACACATTTTTAATTCTTTGGATTTTGGAGGGGTGTGCCATATTACCGTAGACAATCTATGTCTGAGAAAATTTAATAAATAAATATTAAATTAAAAGAGATAAAATGTTTTTAATTTGGTAAGCGGTGCCTACATAATGTAATAATTATTACGTTATTAATTTTAATACATCATTTTAATCTTATAAAAGCATTCAGCTTAGAAATTTGAAATATTTTATTGTTGTATTTACTAATATAATATTATAAATGTAAAAGTGAATTTGTTTGTTTATTTAACTTTGCCTTGACCAGTCGCTATGAAATTTGGTATACACGTCCTATATGGGATGGAGAAGGATGTAGGCCACATTTTATCCCAGCCAGTAAACATATGTCGTGGTCACGCAGAAGAAGTCGCGGGTAAAAACTAGTAATCTCATATAAATAAACGACTATCAAATAAAGAAGTTTCCAAATTCGTCTGATTTAATTTTGGGCTGTATCGTTAATTTTGAACTTGATTTTCAATCTGGCTGCTGAGCAATCAAAGAATGGAGCAGAGAAATAACCTGATAAGGGGAGCAAACTGAGCAGTACAGGTGCGAACCGGCGATGCCGATAGTAATCGACAAACAATTGACAGTTTTTTTTTTATAACAATAACAATATGACAACCGCAGTTAGACTTTGTTGATATTTTAAGAGGGACGTTGATGCTTATTCCTCGACTATTAAATTCCTTTACGATACCCACGGTAAAAGAAGGAGGGTGTAGGTACTATATAACTTAAATTATGTTGTATCATGAACTTTCTAATTTTTTCTTTGTTTTCTAAGTTATTTTATTATTTGTGCCTATCAACCCATCCCTTGATTATTAAATTTCCATACAACACCTACGGTAAAGAAAGGGGTGGTCTATTCTATGATGGGACCATATGGGCAATTTTTTTAATACTGTGTATAAAACATATTATTTGTCAATGTGTGTGTGTGTGTGTGTGTGTGCGTGTGTATGTGTGTGCGTGCGTGTGTGCGTGTGTGTGTGTATTAAGGGCCATAGTTGCTATTTGTAAAAGAATAAATAAAATTAATTCACTTCAAATAAAATTTTAAAATACCATCTTTAATTAATGATATATTAACATAATATTTCATAATTACTATCGCAACAGTTATCGCAGATGTCACTTATTACGCATGCATAATATAATATTACGAATTCGAGTCACACACGCAATAAATCATCCCCAGTCCCCGACCTTATCCTCAATGAGGGAAGTCGTGGCTATTACATTAGACTTAGTGATGAATTTCCTCCCTAATAACATGTGTAAGACAAATATTACACGAACTTTCTGATCGTATATAAATACTGATTAATATAACGTAAACTAACTTTTACTCTCAACTTCGTCTGCGTGATCGGAATATAACTGGTAATGATAATGGAATAGTAAACCTATTTGTATACTTTGGCGTTGGTGGGACCAGGTCTCAGCTCAGTCTCAGCAGGAACCAGCTCATTGTGACAGAATCAATAAGAATTAATCACGATGGTTTCCAAGGAGAACCAGAGGAAGACTTTGTACAAAAGTCGTTTGTTTGGGTACCTCTGTCCCATTCGTGTTTCAACCGTAAAGCAGTTGTGTTTGCATGGCTGTGTTTGAAGGGTGGGATATAGCGTAAATTTACAGGGTACAGAGGAATAACACCTGAGTCCTCAGGAATGGCAACACATGGGGGGTATCATGGGAGAAACAGTATACTCTGTTATATCCATGGTATTACTCATGTCTACAGGCGACGTTTAGCACTTTCTATCAGGTGGGCCGTCAACTTGTTTGCCATTCTAAGTTGTATAAAAAAAAGAACTACATGAAGGATGACCTGATAGGATATATTGCTGGCAATGGGGATCAACGTCCCCATTATTAACAATCTCTCTCTCCCAAATAAACATTAAGATAAATAGTAATAGCTAGGGGGAAAGGGATTGTTAGCAATGGAGTTTGACAGCCCCATTGCTAGCAATATGCCTTATTAGGTCGACCTCAACGTGGTTGCCCCTGGAAACCATCGTGAACAATTCTTATACACCGGCGGGACACCAGTGAAGGATGATAGGTGAGGATAAAGTAGG